CCAGTCCCTTGAATATTCAAGTGTAGGTGAGTCATCTGGCTCGGCTTCCACCTTGGGAGGAAAGGATTTTTGGTTGGAATTCTTCCATTAGGACCACATCTCATACGACATTGATGGGATGTTCCAGGTTCACAGAGGTTTCTCGACCGTTCTCAGCAGACTTCAGCTTCTTTTCCCCAGTTCTTGATTATGTGGAGAGAGTCATTTGGCTTGTTTTTCACTTGTTTTTTGGCTTTTTGGTTCCAGAACTGCAGTTTTTGTGCTTCCGCAGGACAGCTTGCACAGCTACTGCTTGAAAATTTCTGCTGAGGGTGATCAGAAGACTGAAAGCTGTCGATAATAGCTTAGTCATTGTGCTGGAAGCATGCATTGAGTGCGCTCTCTGCACGCAACCTCATGCTGCCCATGTGTGGTAGATGAAAGGTTTTTTTTTTTTTTTTTGTTTTTTTTTTACTGTTCGGTCTCCTATGGGTAATATTTTGTCCTAAGTGCTTTCTAAGTCTAGTGAAGGAATGGATGCTTCTCAACCGACCCCAGGAGTCCAATGTTAAGGAATGGCCTCAGCCACCGTTCTGGCCACACCCTCTGATGCATTTTGTCCCCTCCACCAAGGCTTGGTCGCGGAGGCGACCAAGGCCCGGTAGGTGGGGTGAAACATGTTAGGGACATGACCAGAACGGCTGCTGGGACCATTCCTTAACCCCTTCACGCCTAAGGGTAAAAAAAATCTTAATGCCTAAGCACAATTTTGCAACTTTGACCTGTGTTAGTAAAACCGTCCATATCATCACAACTACTTTGTACATCCAGGTGGATTATACCGCGCTTTTTTTCAGGACAAATTGGGATTTCATTTGGTGGTAAATGGTAATGGATATCTCCTGATATTTGTTTATTATCAAAGGAAAACTGGCCCAAAATGGTAAAAAAAAAAAAATTTTTTTTTTTTTTTTATTTCGCTGTGTGTTTCTTGTTACTACCATAACCTACCTCCAAAGAACAACCCAAAATAAATTTTCCAGCTCTTGATGATCGCAGTGATACCATATATGTGGATGTTATTTGTTGTTTGTACCCGGAGTACAGTCCAGAAACAATAGTGCGCATTTTGTTTATTTATTTATTTATTTTTTTTATACCTAAAACACACTGACATTGACACTAACTGACACTGATACCAATTTTTTTTTTTTCAACCTTGACCCAAACAATAACCCTGGCACTGAACTAGATCAAACCTTGATCTAGGTATTTTTATTTAATTTTTTAATATTTATTTATTTATTTTTTACCTAAAACACACTGACATTGACACTAACTGACACTGATTCCATTTTTTTTTTCGACCCTGACCTTGACCCAAACATAACCCTGGCACTGAACTAGATCAAACCGTGATCTAGGTATTTTTTCTTTATTTTTTATTTTATTTTTTAATATTTATCTTTTTTTTTTTTTTTTTTTACCTAAAACACACTGACATTGACACTAACTGACACTGATTCCAATTTTTTTTTTCGACCCTGACCTTGACCCAAACAATAACCCTGGCACTGAACTAGATCAAACCGTGATCTAGGTATTTTTTTCTTTATTTTTTATTTTATTTTTTAATATTTATCTTTTTTTTTTTTTTTTTTTTTTTACCTAAAACACACTGACATTGACACTACCTGACACTGATTCCAATTTTTTTTTTCGACCCTGACCTTGACCCAAACACTAACCCTGGCACTGAACTAGATCAAACCTTGATCTAGGTATTCTTTATTTTTTATTTTATTTTTAATATTTATCTTTTTTTTTTTTAACAAACATTTTTTTTTCTCTCTATGTCAGGAGTTAGAGAGAGACAATGTATCCCTCTTCTCCAGTCATAGAGAGAGAAAAAAAAAAACAAGGGGGCCGGGCTGCACAGTGACTGATCACTGTGATAGCCAATCCGAGGCTATCACAGCGATCATGTGACCCGGAATCGGGAGTCCCGGGTCCCGATCGTTAGAACGGGACCCGGGGCTCTCGGTGACACCGCGATCTTGGTGCTGGGAGCGCGCAGTGCGGCGTGTTCCCAGCACAAAGACCGGTACGCAAATATGCGGCCCCACGGAAAAAGCCAAGTTCCGTGAAGCGGCATATTTGCGTGACGTTGGGCGTCAAGGGGTTAACGTTGGACTCCTGGGGTCGGTTGAGTAGTGTCCATCCCTTCACTTGGATTGGTTGACACTGGAATCGCTCGGACTCATGCTCCCCCTCTTCTCACTTGCTGGTGGGGTGATCTTTTGCCTTCCATCCACAGCTTGGAGCAGAGCCATAAGGTATGCTTTCTAAGTCTAGTTATTAGGGTCTGACCTGCCACAACTGCTCTGACAACAGCTAGGAAGGAGGTGGGAGCTTCATAACTGCTGCTTATCTCAGCCCCGAACACGTTCACCAGAGAAGCAATGGCAAGAAGAACTCAATGTGGGGGGGGGGGGGGGGTGTTGGTGTCCTCCTCTGCATTCTCCTTGCGTCGCTTGTTTGGGGAAAAGCTGAGATGAGATGAGCAGTCATTATGAAGTGTCCCTCTCCTTCCTAGCTGTTGTCAGAGCAGCCGCTGCTGGAGGGAAGCGGGTCAGGCCAGAACTTGCACCAAATTTGGAAAGCACCTTGCAACTACATGCATTTTGTCCCATAGGAGACCGAACAATGACAAAAAAAAAAAAAAAAAAAATTGATCGTTAGGATTGATACAACGAAGTAATAAAATAACAGAAAAAAGCAATCGGCAATAAAAGCAACAAAAAAAAAAACGAAACTTGTCCAGCTTTTTTTTACATATTATTTTCCGGCACCTTCTGGTTTCCAGAACCTACATTGGTATCTCGGTTTCCCAACGCCTCGGATAAGGTCATTTTCGGTTTACGAATGAAAAGCCATTGAAAATACTGTTCTGACCTCTGGAACGGATTGATTGGTTTTCAATGCATTCCTATGGGAAACCACATTTCGGTTTACAAATTTTTTCGCAATAAGAAGCAAGTTTCCCCAGGATGCATTGCACCTGGGAGGTTTATAGCGCCGGCCCCATGCATGCTGGAGTCTGTGGGTAGCACATGGCATCGAAACTGGAGGTGTTGGAGCGGTTTTTGCTACGAGTTTTGGAGCCATTCTGGAAATTTTTTATCATGTCCCTGTACAGTATTTATGCCTTTAAAGTGCACTTTACAAGAAGTTTTGAACAGATAAAAGACTGTTTTTTGTTTGTTTTTTTACTTTTTTCTGACCTCCGGAACGGATTAATTGGTTTTCAATGCATTTACGAATTAATTTTTAATTCTGTCCCTGTACAGTATTTATGCCTTCAAAACTCTTTATAAAGTGCACTTTAAAGGCATAAATACTGTACAGGGACATGATTAAAAATTAATACGTAAATCCATTGAAAACCAAATAATCTTTTCCAGAGGTCAGAAAAAAGTAAAAAAAAAAAAAAAACAAAAGTCTTTTATCTGTTCAAACCTCTTTATAAAGTACACTTTAAACAGATAAAAAAAAAAAGTCTTAACTTTTTTCTGACCTCCGGAATGGATTAATTGGTTTTCAGTGCATGTCTAAATTCATTTTTAATATCATGTCCCTGTACAGTTTCCAACAGATAAAAGACTTTTTTTTTTTTACTTTTTTCTGACCTCCGGAACGGATTAATTGGTTTTCAATGCATTTACGAATTAATTTTTTAATCATGTCCCTGTACAGTACTTATGCCTTTAAAGTGCACTTTATAAAGAGTTTTGAACAGATAATACTTTTTTTTTTTACATGTCCCTGTAAAGTTTTCAACAGATAAAAGACTTTTTTTTTTTTTTTTTTTACTTTTGTCTGACCTCCGGAACGGATTAATTTTCAATGCATTTACAAATTAATTTTTAATCAAGTCCCCGTACAGTATTTATGCCTTTCAAGTGCACTTTGTAGAGTTTTGAACAGAATACTTTTGTTTTAACTTTTTTTTTGACCTCCGGAACGGATTCATTGGTTTTTCAATGCCTTCCTACTGGAAACCGCGTTTCAACTTACGAATTTTTCGCAATACGAAAAGTCCCGCAGAACGCATTGAACCCGTAAACCGAGGTACGCCTGTATTTTGGAACCCTCGGTAGCTGTCCTCGGGTTTATAATCCGGAAGGTGAATACGCCGTGTGGTCAGGCATGCTACTTGCAAAACGCCGGATACTTGAACCCGACTTCCACGACTTTAATTGCTACGTGTGAGATAAAATATCCCATCCTGCGGTTTTTTTTTTTTTTTTTTTTTTTTTTTTTTTTTTTTTTTTTTTTTCCTCATCCAGTCCAGTTTTTCGTCTCGTTAATTCCGTTTTGTTGCATTTCGTAAAGATTCCAGAAGATCTTCCAGAGAAGTGTTTGGCGTAGAATGACTCAATCGGCCCCCCCCCGCCCCGCCCGCCCGCCTGCCCGCCGCGCCCGCCCGCCCGGTCCTCAGTCTTTCACATGCCGGAAGAATTCAAGTTGTTTCCTTTTTTACTTTTTAACTGAAATCCGTTGTCAGACGTCATCTGTTAATGCGGCGATGAGGGATTCTATACCGGAGGCATCTAAGTGCACGAGGCTTAATATTTAATACGCTGAAAGCATAGATTTAGTGCGTCGGCCAGCTTGGATTTGCAATATTTAGTAGAGTTCGCTTTTATCAGCGCAAGTTCCCTAACTGGAAATTTGTCAGGTGTGTCCCCAGACAAAGGATTTGTTAAATGGAGTCGGTCGGCGGCGTTGGGCGGACTTTGAGTGTCTGTTTTTGGTGCGCGCCGGTCGGTGTGCGCTTTAAAGAAGAACGGTCCGGTGTGGCGCTTTATACACTGAGCCAGCTTGGGCCGATGGACGGATGGACCGGGGGATCCCTCTAGGACAGAGGTGGTCAGCTTTCTCAAGTGCAGCCCCCCCACATCAACGAAGGCCCTTACGTCAGAAAAATATTCAGAGACAGCAGGTACAGACTAAAGGATATTGTCAGAGAAAGTATACTACAGGAGATGGTCAGTGGGAGACTGCAGGTGTATACTAGAGATGGTCAGAGACTGCAGACTGGCAGGAACTAGGTATACAGGAGGTGGTCAGAGACTGAGGTATACTACAGGAGGTGGTCAGAGACTGCAGGTATACTACAGGAGGTGTGTACTGCAGGAGATGGTCAGAGACTGCAGGTATACTACAGGAGATGGTACAGGTATACTACAGAGTGGTCAGAGACTGCAGGTATACTACAGGAGATGGTCAGAGACTAGGAGAAGGTCAGGACTAGGTATACTACAGAGACTACAGGAGATGGTCAGAGACTGCAGGTATACTACAGGAGAGACTGCAGGTATACTACAGGAGAAGGTCAGAGACTGCAGGGTACAGGAGAAGGTCAGAGACTGCAGGAATACTACTGGTCAGAGACTGCAGGTATACTACAGGAGATGGTCAGAGACTGCAGGTATACTACAGGAGATGGTCAGAGACTACAGGAGATGGTCAGAGACTGCAGGTATACTATAGGAGATGGTCAGAGACTGCAGGTATACTATAGAAGGTCAGAGACTGCAGGTATACTATAGGAGAAGGTCAGAGACTGCAGGTATACTATAGGAGAAGGTCAGGACTGCAGGTATACTATAGGAGAAGGTCAGAGACTGCAGGTATACTACAGGAGATGGTCAGAGAGAATGGTCAGAGACTGCAGGAGGAGATGGTCAGAGACTGCAGGTATACTACAGAGAGGTCAGAGACTGCAGGTCAGGAGAACTGTCAGAGACTGTGTACTACAGGAGAATGGTCAGAGACTGCAGGTGAAGGTACTACAGGAGATGGTCAGAGACTGCAGGAGATGGTCAGAGACTGCAGGAGATGGTCAGAGACTGCAGGTGTACTACAGGAGAAGGTCAGAGACTGCAGGAGATGGTCAGAGACTGCAGGACTACAGGAGATGGTCAGAGACTGAAGGTAGAGACTGCAGGTACTACAGGAGAAGGTCAGAGACTGCAGGTATACTACAGGAGATGGTCAGAGACTGCAGGTGTACTACAGGAGATGGTCAGAGACTGCAGGTCAGAGACTGCATACTACAGGAGAAGGTCAGAGACTGCAGGTATACTACAGGAGATCAGGACTGCACTACAGGAGACTGCAGGTCAGAGATACTACAGACTGCAGGAGATGGTCAGAGACAGATGGAGACTGCAGATGGTATACTACAGGAGATGGTCAGAGATGGTCAGAGACTGCAGGTATACTACAGGAGAATGGTCAGAGACTGCAGGTATACTACAGGAGATGGTCAGAGACTGCAGGTATACTACAGGAGATGGTCAGAGACTGCAGATGGTATACTACAGGAGATGGTCAGAGACTGCAGACATGCTATAGGACATGGTCAGAGACTTCAGACAGAGGGTCAGAGACTGCGCCAACTACAGGAGCCGGTCAGTGACTGCAGACAGGATACAGGAGGTGTAGCAGGGACAGGGATCTTGAAGCTGGTAGAGATCACTGTAGTAGCAGTGTAGTAGCTAAACAGCGATTTCCAGCTTCTAGAGGGATCCAACAGGTATGATACATTGGTCAGAGCTGGAACAATGGAACGATGTAGAAATCTCTGCACTGGGAGTTCTCCTTGAAGCGTGGTTGTACAGACTTTACATCTTTATGGTTCTTGCTGGGATTACAAATGAATCAGAATTTTTTGTGAGATGTTTTACATCTGCTTAGTAACTCATCAAGTGGCAGTTAACTTTCCTTTACAACTTCCTGTATGTCTAATTGGCAGTTGTTCCCCATATTATATGTTTTAAAGGGACATAATAGGTGTAATTCTTCTTGACGTTTTATGTGTTTTATGACCCTTGTAATGATCGCGGCACCTCCTCCGTCTCCTCGCTGAGATACTGAAAGCCAGCAAAGTCAGCGCACTAACCTTAAATTCCTATTACACCCTCAGTATTTTTAACACATTGATCACAAAAAAATAAAAAAAATCCCCAGCATACGATTTGTTCAAATTCTTACCCCACTAGTTCACAGAGAGCGTTCACAGTCTCCAGTCAAGTCTGTTTAGCCTAGAGAAGGGCGGGGCAAGGGGATCGCTTTGTCATACTAGGCTGTGGGGGCTGTGTGTTTCTATTGATGCACACAACGTAGGGAGATGTGTACCGACAGGGACCAGGTAGCCAACATACTCAGGCATGTGAAGATTCTTTTAGGTGGCGGTAAAGGCCCATTCAAACGGGGCGCAGACATGCGTCTCCCGCGCAGACCTGTCTATTACTGGCACTGAGATCTCAAAACAGCAGTTGGGGAACCCTTCCAATCGGAGAGGAGCATCTGGTGAAAAAAGAGCGATCCAAAATTCCAGTAGAGAGGTGGAAGAAACTCATTGATGGTGACAGGAAAGCCATTGATTTCAGGTTTTTTTTTTTTTTTTTTTTCCCCCCCAAGGGGTGCGCTATCAAATATTACATTGAGGGTGCCAATAATTTTGTCCAGTCCATTTTTGGGGCTTTGCGTGGAATGTGTCAGATTTGGCTTTTTGTTTCTCCACCTTTTTGCAGCCTATCCGCCGCCCTATAGCAGAAATACGTGATTTTGCATTTCTGGGTAGGGGGTCCTACCCACGCTGACATTGGCAGCCCCACCTGTCAATCACCGGGGGCCCCGGGCGGTGATTCCCCGCCAGCACCCAGCGATCGTTGTGTATCACTGATGGTGGAGAGGACTGTATGTATCAATACAGAAGAAAAAAACAAAAACGTGAGAATGCCGAAACAGATGTAATTGCAGCATTTTTC